TATCATAAAGTCTGTCATTGAGTCGACTGGCGTGGTTTCGAATCCCCGGTTGTACGTGACAAGGAGTAGGGTCACCTGTCCATCCTCGTGGGTTTTCTCCGGGTCCTCCGGTTTCCTCCCACTGCTAAAGACCCCTACGCGCAAGCGAATTATTGAAATAAAATTACACCATATGTTAGTCCCGAAATGACCTAGTTTGTGTCGAGTGGACGTTAAACCCCATTTCTCTCTCCCTTAAGACATGTTTTCAATTATTTGTATCCTCTTAAAGATACATGATGTAAGATTTAAAGATACATGATGTAAGATTTAAAGATACATGATGTAAAATTTAAAGATACATGATGTAAAATTTAAAGATACATGATGTAAGATTTAAAGATACATGATGTAAGATTTAAAGATACATTATGTAAGATTTAAAGATACATGATGTAAGATTTAAAGATACATTATGTAAGATTTGGATACAGAGCTGACCATTCTTGCCATTAATAGCTCAAAAATAGATAATGTAAAATGAAAAGATTGAAAATTTCATTCAAATTACTTCATTCTGAGCCAAGTTATCACTGTTTGTAGTTTTGACAAGATGTATGCATTGTGGTGACCAGGGCACTGGTATGTTCAAGACTTAGCCGCACTTTCCTATTTTTAAAATTAAATTTCTAAATGGCGAACAGTTCTAATCTAGTTAAAATCTCGAGTATCGGATGCCATCGAGAGTTGATTATGGTCTTGTTTTGTTAATAAATGTCTAATTAATAATTTAGATAACATTTCAGGCCTAAAAAAAGACCTGCAATAGGCAGATTAAGCTCTTGCATAATGCATGTTTAATAAAGCAGAGAAAATTAAGACCTCTGTGTTTCAGCTCAACTTGCTTGAAATTAACCCTGATTCTTCTATGCATATTTCAGATAATTAAACAAGCGAATAATCTAGTTATTTCCTAACATTATTACTTTAATTCGACTAATCTTCTCTAAACCATATGCAACCCTTGTTTTTTAAGCAGCTTAAACCACAGGAAATAGTTGAAATCCTACTGATCCACATGCAGTGATGAATATATAAGATAATTCAAATAGCAATTTAGAAGGAATGTGCTTTAATTACCTGGCAGTAATGGATGGATACTATTTCTTTCGCTGGTAACCAGAAAGAGATCATTTGGAATAGACAGATAAAAACGTTTAATAGGTGTGTTCAGGGGGAAAAACAGAAGAGGAAAACTGATAAGGTTACCGACACATTTATCTATTTGGGGAAAGTAGAAGGAGATGGTTTTTTTTCTGATGGTAAAATGTGACTGAAAATAGAAAATGGCTATAATTTTGACAAAATACACAGCTGTAAAGGAGGTGAAAATGTCTTTCGATGTTTATATTATCACACCTGAAGCTTATGTAAATAGAAATTTGTCTAATTGAATACAACAACACCTCTTCCATAAAACCAGCATGTATTTCTTCAACATGGAATACATACACGTCTTCCTTTAATTTCTTCAAAAACATCAGCCATTTTCCAAATATCACATCTAATAAGAGAGTTATATGTTTGGTTTTTTTTATGTTTAAAGTGAACATGAAGAGTTCTACGAGCTGTGGAGTATCAGATTGTCAGCAGTTACATCAGAAACAACTGTTCGACCCCGTTCTTTTATAGGATAAAAACAGATTCTGAAATGTTTGGGGAGAATTTTGAAGAAGACAGTACTTGGGTACTCTGGGTTTTTTTATCTTTTAATATTGAGGAAACTATCGTCAATGGTAAGGATACAAAAGAACAAAAATTTGTTAAATGGACGTATGAGCTTCTAGAGACCCCCCCCCCCCCCATCCAGTAAATGGTAAGGATACATCAAAAGAACAACAAAAATTTGTTAAATGTAGCTATATGTATGAGCTTCTAGTTCTAGAGACCCCCCCCCTCCCCATCCAATAAATTATCAAGTCTTTCGCACGGATATACTGAATATACCATAAAAGGTTTTATCAAGCGTAAAAGACAACAGTTATTTCAATTTTGACTGAAGTAGCCAAACATGACTCCTGAAAATAAAGCCATATATCCAGAGGGATAAAGAATACATTGGTAGATGGACACTTACATTAAGTGTATCAATGAATAGCCACTAACCAAGCAAGATTGTCCAGAACATGATGGGTTTAATTAGATGAGAGAGATGCCTATAGATTTTATAGAACATACATTGATTACCGGGTGGTGTGCTTAACAATAGGTAATTGTCTTCAGACAAGTGATTAAAAGATCAAAGACAATTAATGTCCTAATAATGACTAGCATCTCAAATATGATGTATGAGATGAAAAGGTATCAGGTCTGGTTGTATTAATAATAACAGAGAATCAATTGTTCTTCACGGTATGGTATGTATCAGGTTGGTTGAACCAAGTTTGTTTGGGGCATTTCTGATATCAAATCTTGACATTTCATGGCAGTCAGTGCTCATGGTATGATCACATAAAGTGGGAGAGAGAGAAGAGAGGGAGAGAGAGAAATGGGGTTTAACATCCATTTGACACAAACTAGGTCATTTCGGGACTAACACATGGTTCAATTTTATTTCAATAATTTGCTTGCCATAGGGGGCTTTAGCAGTGGGGAGGAAACCGGACATAAAGTGTGATTTAAATGTCAAATGTCATGAAGTGAGGTACATGTATAACATCGTATTTTTCGGCACCGAGTGGGGATTTAAATATGAACAGTTATTGTTAGTTTCTTCTTTCAACTTTTGTTTTGGGGGTGCGGGGTATAAAGTGACATCTTTTTTTAAAAAATATAATGATAATTCTATAATACCAAAAAAAAACCACCACAAAAAACATATTTATCTTGTTCTGATCTACCTTTGGATAAGGGATCTTTAAATGCAGCAAAAAGTAGATCCCTGGCTCTTACAAAGATGGCAGATGACTGGTATAGCGATTGACTATTAACCATAGCAATAACATATAAAAAAAAACTGTTAAAGATCACTCATGCATGAAGATTTATTCAAATTAGTTTCTAGAAGATATTATATCAATTCAATACCTCGGATAATCCTTACAGTTTAATAATGTGAATAAATGTATGTATTTGGTTTATTTTTGAAACTTAGGATCATAGACGCCCCAAAATTTAAGTGTGTAAATTAATAAAGAGGTGTAATGTGACAATATTATTAGATTTTCTCTACCGAATATAGGGAGGGTTGGATGGTCTAATAGTTACCATGTGTGCGCTGTATCGTAAGGTCTGTCACTGAGTCAACTCTCTCTCTCTCTACCGGATACAAAATAATCTAACCACCAAAATAATATGTGATAAGAATTTGAAAACACAGAAAAGCACTAACAATTCTAAGAATAAGCACACATAAATTGAAAATTGAAACAGGGAGATGTTTAAAATTAGACATTAACGATCGTTTGTGTAATAGATGTCAAGAGGTAGAAGATGAAATTCATTTGACAACAAATTGCAAAAGACATGACAAAAAAAGAAAAATGACAAAAAAAGAAAAGAACTGTTCAGATTAATTCTATTTCATGAACCAAATTTTTTATAAACTGAATGATTTACAACAATTTAAAATACTGATGATGAATAAAAATGTAGAAATTTTAAAATGTTTAGGAGCTTTTGTATATATTTCGTTCATGTCATTGTAAAGTTGTGTATCTTTGTATAATTATGTCCATGTATGTATCCTTTGTTTGTTTCATGTATATTTCTATTATTTTTATTTGTATATGCACATAACCTTGTAAAGTTTTTTATGCAGTAAAGTTTCTTCTTCTTCTATATCTACAAGTAGTTAGAAGATTCCGTTAGAAGTAGATAATATACGTAAAATAAAGTAAATGGGTCCATTCTAGATGATTATTTTATTGCCGACAATTTTCAGAGTTATAAAATAGCAATAAAATAATTATCTTGAATGGATGCATTTACTTTTTTTTTATGTATATATTTATATTTATATCATCATAAAATCCATACATATCTGCACAGAAATGACCTAGAAATGACCTAGTTTGTGTGAGTGGATGTTAAACTCTCCCTCTCTCTCTCTCTCTCTCTCTCTCTCTCTCTCTCTCTCTATCTGATACAAAATAATCTAACCACCAAAATAATACATATACCTATTTATATCATCATAAAATGGACACATACAGATCTGTACATGATGCATGTGAACACCCATTTATCTTCTTCCCTTTTAAGTTTGTGAAACATTCCATACTTTGGAATGGACATGTTCAGGAAATCCTTGAAATAAATGTCTTTATTTATTTAAAATCTCTATTTATTTACTTATATCAGTGTCATAAGAGTTGAGCTAAGAAATTTGGGTGTTTCCTTCTCAAGAAATGTGGACTAGCTTTTTTCTTCAAGTATTCTTTAATCTTTGAAAATGTCAAACGGTTATTGGCCTCTCATATTTCAATACCAGTCATACTTTGGCGATATTTCAGAATATTTTGTTAACTGAGAGAAAGTCAAGAGAAATAAAAACGAGGAATATGACATAAATTTGAAGGACTGTGCAAACAGCCTATAATCATTATAAATCTAGTTTCGAAATGACATAAAATGTTGTGGAATGACCGTCTATAACTACATCCGTTCAAATATAGTGGTGACGAGGAAAAAAAATATCGTAACTTATTTTATAGAAACAACCTTGACATGGAAGTACACAACACATTTGAGAGCAAATAAATATTTAAAGAAACAACACGGGTCTGTTAGAAATTATGATTATTCTGTCACTAAATATTTTTAATGCACTTCGTGTAAAGTGCAATGCACCATAGGTTAAAATTCCGAAAAAGTGCACGTATACTTTCAAAATTTTAATTATCTTCTCTTGATGTACTCTCTTTCAACCACCAGTATTAAGGATGTTTCCTTGGGTTTTTTTTTAATCTATTGGTTAGTGTTTGTGTGATGTTTGTGAATACTATGAAAAATTAACTTACCTTGATGGAATCAAAGCAAGCAATCACCCGACCATTTTGTACTTCAACATGGGGCGGAGGATGTGCAAATTTGCACTCTTGTTCCGTTCGTGTGCATTTATTCCGCTGAAATTCACGGCAGACCTCCAAGGTCAGCCAGCGGGAGTCCTTGACATTAGGATTATTAACCAGATTTAACATTGGATTGACCATGGCCATAACAATAACCTAATATTATCTCAATAAAATGTTTGAAAGACGTGTGGTGTCGAACCGAATAAAACAATAACAAATAAATATGTCAGTATCGATAAAAAATAATATAGCACTTTGTTCGTATAACACAGTTTAAAAGTTATTATATAGCACTAATTAAATATATGTACGTATCTACTGATAATAATATCCACTAATAAAATGAAACACAAATGAAACCACTGTTTAATAAAATGAAGACTCCACTTGGTAGAATCCTAAACGGTCTATAGAAATCTAATGACTAATAATATCTTGAATTTATATTAAACTCTCAACAAAACTAACGGGTTAAAAATTGGCAGAGTTTAAAACAGCGAAGCAGACACAAGTTATGGTTTGTTGTAATTCCTCCCTGACTCGCTAACCAATCTGAAAAATAAAAAATAAAAAATAATTAGAAAATAAATAAACCAATTAATGCAATTATCAATATTGAATTACAATAAATTCTGTTATTCCATTATTGCATAAAAAATTACGCTGTAGAGAGACTATTCATACATACGATGTATTTTTCAATGTTTCGTCTTCTGCTTTATAGCGCTAATGGAATATTTATGTAAACTTCTATAATTTTGATTCGAGCTGGTATTTAATGATGTGACTGAAGACTGCATATGCAAAAGGGGAATTACTCTTGTTTTACAGCTAATTACGCGAAACGGATATGTGACCTTTGACACGGACAACGCACACTGGTACATAAAACTGTAAAAAAAATTTAAAAAATCACTGACAAAATGCATTCAAACTAACACAGATATTGTTAATTGAATTTCCCTGTTCATGTAGAATTAAAAAAAAAAAACAAAAAAAGAATCAATTTTATATGACTTTATCGGAAGTAACATGTCATACGATTAGAGATAAAGTTCGTAATCTAGATCAGATTGCACAAAATCGCTGCACCCTGACCAACAAAAACTACCCCTACTCATGATAGACGAGCTAAACAGTTAACTAAATCTGTACTCTACAAGGTTAAATTGAGTTGGGGTCTACTTCAAATCATAATTTTTTTTTAAATGATTTGAAAAGAGTAAGGACGTTTTCTGTAAACATACAAAATGTCAGAGCTGCCATAATGTCACAAACTACCAAATTTAATTCTTTTTCCCAACATATTTTTAGGACTAGTTATCTCTGTTTAAATATTGATCAAAGTCGTCTACTGCCCAAATTCTCAAATTTAAAAGTGTTTTTAAATACATTTAAAAAGGCGGTTAAAGAGTTTTTAAACCCATTTTATGAAGACAATCTGGATCATCTATTAGATCCGTTTGGAACACCTATCAGATCTGTCTGAAACAGGACACTGTTGAATAGAAATCATAAATATTCGAGATGCAAATCAGTACCTGAATCAAATAGCTGTCAACACCCATCCTTAGAACAAATTGCTTGCCAACATGCAAAGGTGCAGTTTTATCAACACCACTAATATGTACTCAAGTCTCCAACTTTACCGTGACAAATATAGCAACTGAGAAATTGTAAGATTTACAAGCCAAATTGTCCCACAGTTTTCTCCCTCCACCCTATCTAATACCATTAAATGTCACCAAAGTTCACCTTTAAAAGCTAAACACCTCCTAGATAGATAATCTATTTACTGTAGACACTCCCAAATTAAAACAAATAATGATAAATCATTATTTTTTATCCCACAACACTAAAATCTTGCATGTTCATGCTGCTAATACGCAGTCACGTGGGGAAAACAGAACCTTGCTGAATACAAGTTGTATACCTATTTATAATTGATATAACCATTTTGAAACATTGTGAATAGATAAATATATATCTATGTTTTCATAATAACTTATAATGTAGAGGACAACAATAATACCAAAGGGTTTATTTTAGTATACTATAGCAAATGTGAGTTACTCAGGTCACACAAATATTACAACTGTGAGTTACTCAGGTCAGATAAATATTACAAAAGATCGAGATATAGTCAATATAATATTATGTTAAAATTTAATGTTAATGCATTTATTTTAACAATAACACTGTTATTCATACAGTAAACTTGTTCAAACAAAACATTTCCTCCTAATATTTATCATGAAGGTGCAAGAGGTCACTCCATCAAAGAAGAAAGCTTTGACAAGCCTTTTATACTCATAAAATATATAATACATTAAAACTTTGAAGAATAAATGTTTGATATCATATTTTAATATATATATCCGATAAGAAATGACACAATCGGACAAAAAGAAGATGTACATCATTTGAATGATTGAACTCTTTCAAATCAACTTTCTTTGATCTGCTTTATGCCGCTTTTAATCTTCCATAATCTTTTGTGATGAATATGTTTTAATATAACAAAGTGAACGCTTCAAATGTTTAGGATCAAAAAGGAACTTGATCAGCCTTACTAATTATATTAATCATTACACTGTTAGAGGTACATATACAAGTTATTGGTAATTACGATATATCCTGATCTCATATACATGTAGTGGTTTGATCTGATTTTATATTTAATAAAACATAGTTCGAAGTAGTTTGTTGGATGCATGGTTTTGTGGTTTAGGTGGGAGGGTTTGTTTGGGTTCCGGGGGGATGTTGGGGGGGGGGGGGTGTCACATCGGGCAGGTATTTGAAAACAATTAACTATTACAGCAAACAACAACTAGAGCAGAATAAAATGAAAGTAAACAAATAAGTAAGCAGGCACTTATTTAATCATAAAATTTGAAATTGACACTTTTCAATCCATTTTTTTTTTTTTAAATCTTCCAACATAACAACTAATCGAACTTGGAATTATATATGAAGGTAAATCAATCCTGCTACTAAAAACTTCTCTCAAAAAATTATTGACAATGGCTTACCACTTCCAAACTTTTAAAAACCATATCTTTTATGGCAAACAAGAGAATGGGACCAGAACAAAAAATGTATTTAGCTAAACATTGAAAAAATATAATCATTATAAGACATATCAATAGTTTTGAATCTATTTATATATATTTGTATTGTTTGATCTGATCCCAGTCCTAAACATCATGATGTATCAATAATATTGTCATTCTAAAATACTGTTGTTGTTGGGGAAGGGAATAATAGCGGACATGCTACCACGAACTGAAACATGTTATCGGGTTGAAGCACTCTTTCCACAGGAAATCTACATGTTGACACGATGAACAGGATAAATACAACAAGGGGTACACATGAAATATTGACACACGCTAAACCTAGAGCTCTTCAACTTAGACCTCAACCAAAATTCTCTGCGGTCGTCTTGTCCTCAACGTTTTTTCTTATCGAGCTCATTTCTTTGTTCTCGAATCGTTTCTTATAAAATTGCCGCCACCGTAATCCTATGTGGACATTGGCGAGATTCATTGTTTTAACTTGGTGCCTAATGGCTACGTTTTTAATGCTTAGTTAAATAATCTTGGGAATAATTCTTCTTACTACTGAATAAAATTTGGACAAAAGTCATCTAACTTTCACTTTTCTTTTCTTTTTTTTCAAATCGTATATTTTATACAGTAGACATTTACTTTGGAACACAATTTGGACAAAAGTCATTGATTTTTCACTTTTTTATTTTTTTTCAAATTATATATTTTAGGTAGTAGACATTTACTTTAGAATACAATTTGGACAAAAGTCATTGATTTTTCACTTTTTTATTTTTTTTCAAATTATATATTTTAGGTAGTAGACATTTACTTTAGAATACAATTTGGACAAAAGTCATTGATTTTTTGCTTATTTTTCGAATTATATTTTATAAATTTGACATTTTACAAGTCGCTAATTCATACATTTACAGTTATTCGTGAATACAATTTGGAAAAGAATCATCGATCTTTTGCTTATATTTTCAAATAATATTTTATATATTTAAAATATTTAAAAGTTGGCATTTTATTAATTTATAAAGATGCGTCTTATGAACATAAATCTACCTCAATCTTGTTGACTTTTAACGTTTACAAAAGATATCTCTATAATAATATATAATATAATGTAGCCTATATATAAGCTATATCTACGATCAGTAACTTATTAAAACAAAACTGTTGAACGTTCATGTATCAGTATATTATACTATATCTACTGATATACTAAACAAATATTAAACTAAGTTCAACTCACTTTTTCTTTACTGTATCACATGGTCATAGTTGTCCTTAATGAAATCTGATAATATCTACCACATGTGATCCCACTATACTCCAATCAAAATGAAGCACTTTTCTGGTTGCTTAACCAAATGTGACCCCTTTGTCAAAGCCTCCCGCCAAATATCATCCTACGCAGTCCTTTTTTTTTTTATCTAAAATTTAGTATCATGACTGGGTTTTGTATGTTATTATATCGACCATTTCCTTAGTTACGAGGATAAGAAGATCCTATTTTATCAGTGTGATACATCTGAATGGTGGTCCCTGGCTATGAATATATACGTTTTTTTTTTTGAGCTGACTGTGTAAACAAGCCGACTGACAATAGCACGCCACTGAAATCTGGGACGTCTTGACATTAAAGATGACTAATATTGTGAAATGTTGAAAAGACAGGAAATGGAATATTATATATCTTGAGTGAAGTGTACATCATTCACACTTTGTGTGGAGAGATTATCGAGAATAAGGAAATATTACATAGGCAATAAGTTTCATATTCACAACAATTCTTTCCTTTTATAATATAGAAATTATTGAATAATGGAAATTCCCAGAAAAATTACAGTCAACAGCTCATATCACATTACTCCGAGGCCTTTCTCAGAAAAATACCACTAGATAATATATATATTTACCCAAAACAATCATTTATATTTATAATGTTGGTTTTGCAATATTTCAAAATTCCCTTGTAAATGAAATGAAATGAAATGGGATTTAACATTCTAATTTCCTGTACCAACAGTGTTATTAATGACGGCATCCTCAGACAGTGTTCTATGCGAGGACATTGCATAGACAGCTGCATGTCTGCCCACTATTTATCAAATTCCATGTTGTTGATTTTAGTGTTTAATGTCCACTTCCACCGAAGGTGATATCGCAGACAAGTTGTCTTATTTTTCATTTTTATTATCTTAGCCCACGCACAGGGGGTCTTTTCTGTGGGAGGAAACAGGAGTACCTGGAGTAAACCCACGAGGTTGAGAAGTGCCCCTATCTCCATGCCACATACGCTCACACTAGGGATCGAAACCACAACCGCAAGCCAGAGGTAACCGGCCAGCTAGAGGTCGAAGCGTTACACTCTAGATAACTAGGCCACCCCAACCCCCCTATCAAATTCCAACTATTAAGATTTATTTTATGTGCAAGGCCACAAGTACACACATGTGATTTTCGATTTTCGGTCCTATCAAAACTACTAGACACCTTTACTTGTCAGGCCCTTCGTGATGTCGCTCTAGCTCGGAGAAATCATGCTGGAAACCCCAGGACCTCCTGGATTGTGTACCAGCTCCAAATTCCCTGAGCCACTGGTGTCAGAAATGAGATTTAACGTCAACTTAAAGTAATGCATTCAGTTTGATTAGATTCACGTATCAGTTTAGTAATTCTATTTCCTAATTTCTGAAAATAAAATTGTGTAGACCAACAATTAACAATGAGAGACTCACCATATCTTACTGACTTGACCATTTCTCAACAAAATAAACACCCTATCACATGTAGGACAAACTTTAATATTTATGTAAATGTGTCATCACACATTACAAACTCATACAAATAGATTAAAGAAATTGTATATGACAGGAGTTATCTCTCCATGATATCTCTCTAAATTCAATGAACAATATTAGCGTTATCTTCACTCCAGTAATCTTGTTAAAACCATTTAGCTGTTGTTGGAAGTGACAAATCCAGTCTTCTCGACCACCTACCAGTAAACTTTAATTTGATTTATATAGCTCATCATAGGGTCATCTATCAGGTTAGATGAAAATCAAACCGGTTACTTTATGATAAAAGTCAGTGTGTCTTAACGTAAAGAGATAAAGGAAATGTTACTACATGTGCTGTAGTTAAAACTTTAAAGCAAACTAGTACAGGAGCAGACATATATCCTAGGCAACAGTCTTTAATAAGTATATACCTTATCCATCTTAATGGATGTACTTTGTCATGACTACAACATTGAACCAACTAATGAAGATTTATTCTAAGTGATATAGCCACAGTAACAATCATATTTTTCTGTTTCAATGGCCTGGGAATTTACATAAATCATACAATAAACTTTACAATGGACATCGTTAAATTTCTAATAATACCCAGTCACATTATTTGAAAAATTATCAATTATTCTTTGTCTTTTTTTTTTTTTTATCTTTTAGCTTAAAAGATTAAGTTAAACATACACTGTCACATTGGCAACTGGTGTCAGAAATGGGATTTAACGTCAACACGACACAAACTAGGTCATTTCAGGACTAACATATGGTTCAATTTTATTTCAATAATTTGCTTGCGCGTAAGGGTCTTTAGCAGTGGGTCGAAACTGGAGAACCCGGAGAAAACCCACGAGGTTGGAGAGGCAACCCTACTCCTTGTCACATACAACCAGGAAATCAAAACCACACCATACAGTGCCCACGTGCTAACCATTCAGCCATCCAACCCCACTACCATGACTCTGAGAAATAAATTTGCCTACTAAAAACATGAAATGATATATAGCAGTTGTGATATATTGTACACCATATTATCATACAGCATATGGTTACTCAAATAACTGAATCAAATGTTTATAATGACACCTTTAAGATGTCTAATCTTGATGAATGTTATTTCACTGTAGTCTAACACGTAACAGCTTCTTTATTATCCTAATTTACAACCTAGAAATAGCATCCTGTTGTATTCTGAACAACTTAAATATCCATTTCATTATCTCAATTATAACTCACAATTCAAGGGAATATCCGAATATTCTCTCATGCTTACTTAAAGATGCATTATGGGAGATTCGATAACGAGTTGGCAGTTCTCACTATAATAGTTAAAAACTAGATAATGTAAAGGTAATTTGCTGAAAATTTCATTCAAATTGATCCACTATGAACCAAGAACTAAGCGGTTGAAATTTCGGGCTAGCCTTGATCATCATTACTAAAGTCAGTACGATAAACAGCCTAGTCTCGATTTTGCATTTAATCGTTAAATCGTGAAGGAAAGTTATGCAGTAAATGGGCTCACAATCCACTAAAGATCGCAGGCTAGCGATGACATCGAGAGTTGATTATGGTCTGGATAAGTTAATTAATGTCTAATTAATAGCTTAGATAACATTTCAGGCCTAAAGAAAGACCTGTAATAGACAGATTTAGCTCTTGCATAATGTATGTTTAAGGAAGCCATATTCCTTTTCAGCTCAATATGCTCTAATTTATGCATTAGATATAAAAAATAAACTACTTGAGCAACTCTTATAGAATCAATAATTTATGACAGATATAATGTTTATAGGCCACTCCTATTGACAACAGATTACTAGTTTGATTAATCGAATGTCAGTTTTAAAGATAGCGCATAAACTTTTAAATTCAAAATCGAGAAAAAATAAGAAGAAGTCATTTTAATGAATATTGATAAACCAAATAATAGATCGCTTAGATGTTAATCTAGGAAGAACACAAGAGTCAGATATCTATTGGAACAAGGCTTTCTTATTAAAGAGAGAGAGAGAGAGAGAGAGAGAGAGACTGCTAACGTCCACTCGACACAAACTAGATCATTTTGGGACTGACCCATGGTTCAATTTTATTTCAATAATTCGCTTGTGCATAGCGGTCTTCAGCAGTGGGAGGAAACCAGAGGACCTGGAGAAAATTCACGAGGTTGGACAGGCGACCCTACTCCTTGCCTACTCCTTGTCACATACAACCTGGGAATCAACACTACGCCAGTTGACTCAATGACAGACATTATGAAACAGCACGCACATGCTAACCAATCGGCCATCCAATCCCCCAAGATAAAAATAAAGGCTTATCAAAACAAGTTACTCACCAGAATTAAGTAGACATATTGAATTACATGAACGTAAGACGACACATCATATGATCAGAAATAGGATATTTTCTTAATAGCGTTTAATATTTAATGTTGGTTCGTAAAGGATTTACACAAAAGAAAATATAGCTTTGAATAATCAGCAAGGTTGTGTATTGTGTAAAAGTCTTGTTGAGCATGTAATTTTCTGTGTACCTGTATATTGTCTACTTTATCTATATGTTTTTGAATATGTATTCATTAAATAATCTACCTGTATGTTAGTTATGTGTTTATGATATTAAATAGTCTACCTGTATGGTAGTTATGAGTATATGATGACAGTCTATTATATATTTTGTGTAGATTACATATAACAATATCAGTTGATATTGAGCAGGCCGTATATTTTGGTAGGATAGGCTTAAAATAATGAAATGGGATTTATGGTCCTACTGTTCTGCACTTACTGGGTTGATGGAGACAGTACACGAGAGAGAAATGGGGTTTAACGTCCACTCGACACAAAACAGGTCATTCCAGAAGACACGGAGAAAACCCATGAGGTTAGACAGGCGGCCCTACTCCTTGTCACGTACAACGGGGGAATTGAAACCACGCCAGTTGACTCAATGACTAAACCATAGAAAAGAAATTACCCTTATAATAAAGTGGAAAGTTTTGAAAAGAAGATAATAAATCCCCTACACACAAAACTACACAGGTCTCTAAATTGAAATATTTCAAATTGTAATTATAATTTTTGTGTCCATAAACTGCACACTGAGTCTATTTCGATTCACAATTCAGTTTTGTTAGCATTCCAGATTTAAAACAAAAGCGGTTTTTCAAATTTTTCAATTTATTTAATAGTAGCTGATCAAACCCGGTCGGGTCTCCAAGACATTCAAATATTTACCTAGCCAAAAGAAAAAGTTTTACGCTCATTTTTCTTGACATGTTTACACATATTTAATATAATATATCACGATGTATCTTAGTTACGGGTCGCGAACAGATTGCAGAAAAACAGAAATTATCTTGTTATTAGATCAGTGTGAATGTGTTCCACTCTAACAGTTTTATCTAACAAGTCAGTGTTTTATTAATACTGGTTTCAAAACATGTGAAACCTGATAATTGCCAAATCTTATAAATTTTGATAATAGTTTGATAAATATAACAAATATTATGTAGACAAAAACCTGGGAGAAGATTAACAAATAATAACACACAAATCATTACCCAGAACACTCTCGATAGAAAACTTAATTTTAAAGTTGATATCTTTATAACAATTTTATATGTATTTCAATTCAAGTAAAGGGAAGGATGGAAGTTTGGTTTAATTTTAAAGCCGATATCTTTATAATATTATATGTATTTCAATTCAAGTAAAGTGAAGGACGCAAATTTGGT